GGCAGGCTGGCCCTGATTTTTCTGGTCTTCTGGAAGGGCTTGAAGACCTGGTTTCCCATCTAGCTTGGAGATCAGAGATTGATATGGAGCTGTGCTGTTCTTGAATGACTGTAGTCTCCTGGTGATTCTATCGTGTGCTTTTAATTGTTTAATTGTTTTTAATGTTTGTATTGTTTATATTGTTATTTTATTTTATTTTTTTAATGGCAAAAGAGTGATTAAAATGCTATTTTGGAAAGTTCAAACAGAATAAGACCCAGATAGATTTGAAATAAGATTTTAAAATGAAATTTCTGGTTATACAAGCTTAGAAATAAAAGAATAATTTGATAATTTCTGCAACTGAACCCTCTTTTTTAACAACCATAATTATGACAAGTCAAAATAAACATTCATATTCAGAGTTGTCTTCTTTCTTTTTACTGCAAGCAAGAAGATTATTAAAAGAAATTGTGTAATTAAAGCACTTGGTTTCCTAAAACAACTTCCTTGATGGAATATTTTTCTAGAACTCATGATTGTTAAAAGTAAATGGCAGGAAGAAAACAATCCTAATTAATAATGCACTCAAGGAAAGTTGTATCCCACCAAATCTCCTATGAATGTGATGTAATGTGAAGTTTAATCCAATGAATACATGGGGTGGCTGGATAGAGCTCCTTTCTGGGATGGAGTCTGACTAGGAAGAGTTGTGAAGGTGTTTTCTGCTTGCAATGCCATGGAGGTGATGGAAAACTCATCTCCAAAGTGCCAACAACTGCAGAGGATCTTGTTGTTTTCGAAAGCTGGCGGGTTACAGGGAGTCACTAGTCTCTTGTACTCAAGCAAGAGCCATAAGATTCTATAGGTCCTCTACTGATTGTTGATCAAAGTTCAAGCACATGAACCAAATGCAGAAAAAGTGGCTTTACTACTGATAAGGAAACAAAATTCTAACTACAAAGGGAGACATGGATATCCTTCTCAACCCTGTGACTAAGGGCATATCTAGGTCTAAGTTATTATTATAATTCATTGACACTGCATTTACCGTGGAAGAGGGAAGGGATAAGGAAGCCCAGCAGCAGATATCCTTGAATCATGCTGCCTTTCAAGGTATGAACTCTGTAATCAATTAGTCACTACCAGGCAAAGATTGGCACAATAATAAAAATTCCATTCTTAGGATGCTACATGAGAGAGACAACCAAGGGCATTTCAAAATAAGAAAACACACTAATAATACTATAGTTAGATATGGATGCATAGACGTGATTCAAGTTAATTCAGTTCTCTCTGGCTTAAGTTCAACATGCACTCCTATCATTCTAGCTTATCTAGAATGAATTAGGAGATTTACAATTGAAGCTAAGCCATAAAGTTTTTCTCACCAGATTATATGGACTTAGCCATTGTGGTTTATCAATCATTGTTTATAGCATAGTATTATCCAGAGAAATGTAGTTCAACCAACAAATTATGAATATGTAATCTGTGATGCCATTAATAAGATGATGAACAATCTTAGCTGAAACTACTCTTCATCAAAAGACTTTGAGGAGGAGTTAATTGAAGTTACTCTGTTACAGAGTTCTTCTTTGAACTGGAGATACATTGCTTTTGCAGGGATAGCAATTAACACAGAAAACAAGGCAGTGAAGGCTTTTTATCAATGAAGGAGAATATTTGTAGCTCAGGGTTAAAATGAGGAGTCTTGGTGCTCTCTGAGCTTGCTTGTTTTCTTGCAGACATTTCATTATCCTTGATTGGAGTATTGCTTACTTGATTGTTGGTCTGAAGGTGACCTTGGAGTTAATCTATGCTGATCTGAGTGCTGATTACTGGTCGAGAGGTGCTGGAGTCTTTTTCTCTTTTGGGTAAAGTCACCTTCAGACCAACAATCAAGTAAGCAATACCCCAATCAAGAAACTGCCACAGAGACATTAGTAAACAGGCCAACCAAAAAATCCCTAAGACTTTCCCCACCCACCCAGACAAGCAAGACCCCAGAATATAAACAGACAGGAAACAGCACTCCTTACTAGCACTGATGATGTTACCTAGTTAGGGTAATGAAACATGTGCAAGAAAACAAGCAAACTCAGAGAACACCAAGGACCCCTCAAGGCTTTTTATGTTTAATGCCCAGTCCTTCCCCAGAGACCAAGTCTTCTTCACCAGCAGTGAGTATCCCTTCTTCCTCTCTGGGATTTTGGATGAAGCTGCCACCTGCAGCCAGCCAGGTTCCTCCTTCACATTCTGGAGTCTTGAGAGCTCCAGAAGCTCTCACCCTTCTGGATCTTCACTTCTGGACCTTTCTTCTCCCTTCCCAACCAAGAACTGACATATGTTATACACACTTAACTTCTCTCTTCAACCTTTCTCTCCAGCCAGTCTCTTCACTCTGTGCACATACAGATAGTCCTCGACATATGACCACAATGGAGCCAAAACTTTCTGTTGTTAAGTGAGATATTTGTTAAGTGAATTTTGCCCCATGTTATGACTTTTCTTGCCACAGTGGTTAAGTGAATCACTGCAGTTGATAAGTTAGTGAATCTGGCTTCCCCGTTGACTTTGCTTGTCAGAAGATCGCAAATGGGGATCACATGAGCCTGGGTCACAGCAATGGGCATCAATATGAGTCAGTTGCCAAGTGTTTGAATTTCGATCACATGATCATGGGATGCTGCAAAGGTCGTAACTGAAAAATGGTCATAAGTCACATTTTTATCTCCTTCTCTCCCCCTCCCCCCTCTCTCATTCACCCCCCCCCCCATTTTAGGTTAGATTGGCAGCTTGTCTCTTCGCAATTGAGGAGGTGGGTGACCTTCCAGAGCTTCACTCCCCAACACCAACATTCCAGGCTGGACTAATGGGGCTGCTGTCTCAGTACCCAATTCAACTCATTGGGCTCCCAGAAGCGCGGCCTCCCTTCAAAGTGAGAAGTGATCTTTTTTTCTTCTTTTCCTTACTCATGGCAAGCCACTCAGAATCATACGCCACATACAAATATCGCCATATTGTGGCCCTGATATAATAGAGAAGGCTGAAACTGTAACCTCCAGCGTTGACATCGCTCCATTAAGCTTTTTTATGTTATTGGGAAGCTAATGAAATGTTTATTAATCCCAATTCTGAAGTTATGTACCCCTGAAAGCATAGTGACCTTTTACTGTGGAATATACATTGCTGTGGTTTCAGTTCTATGAAAATCAATTTTTTTTTCTCTTTGTCTCTTTAGCGTGCAATCCGTTCCTCTTAAAATATGACAGAATAAAATAGTTACATAGAACTCACTATTTATTCTCTTTCAGAACTCAGTCATGGTGGCTGGAGCTATAGTAACCATTTTAAATCTCAGATGACATTAATGTAATTGTTTGCATCAAATATTAAGACTCGGAAGCACCATTGCAATGTACGCAGAGTATATACAGGATGCTTCAGGAGACCAGGGCTGCATCCTAATATGTAATTCTCAGTGATATCAGATATCTGACTAAACGCAACTGGAGGTAGGACTGATAGTAGGATTACCAAACGGGAGGTGATAAAGAATTATAATCAAAGGGCAGCAGGTACCTTGAATGGCTGAGCCGAGAGGCAACACCACTTTCTATACTGAGGCGATACCGATTCGGTGGCTTCATTATCAATGTTTAGGCAGATAGTAATCAAGGAAAGAAACTTCACTCAGTAAGCAACACTCTGTTTTGGAGGCTTGTGCAATGCTTGGCAGGTTCTTAACACCTGAATAGCTTTGATCTGATTTTAATTGTGGTTTTTTTTAATAGTTGCTGGTTGTTGGGGTGGGCGGGGGAGGGGGTTCCTATTTTTTTCTTAGGAGATTTGAGAGAGGCAATTCCATTCTTGCTACATGCCTACGGATTCTTTCTGCTGGTGAAATTGCAGGAGGTGGAGCTCTGACTCAGTGTTTATAACACCCACTTTTACCATTTCAAAGCTTGTAAATAACTTTTAGGAGCCATTGTTATTTTAGAGGTGTTCTTCATAGGGTGTCACTTGGACATAATGGTTTCTAGAATGGGATCACTTGCTACTTTCCTGAAGGTAAGAACTATAAAACTGGAATGAGACTCTCTGGACAGATTGTCCCTATTGGTGTGCATGTACTTCTTTTTGTCCTATCTAGAAAAAAGGAGAAACCAATTAGTTGAAAACAAGACTTGTAAAAAGCTGTCATGCATGGCTTTGATCTCATCATCACACAGAGTAAGTTTTGTCTGAATCCAGATATGAAAAGTGCTGCTGAGAGACATGTAAATGTAGGATATGAAACAAGCAGAAAAGAAAGTATGTCTGAAGTTTCTTGTTTTCTAGTGAGATTTTTTTTAAAAAGAAAGAAAGATCCACCTGTACTGTATGCTGATGCTATTTCTGTTGGTTAAGCTGTTATGGTTGGTTAGCAATTTGTATTGTTTAAGGAATATTTGTAAATGTATATAGAATGCAAATTAGAGGAAACGCCTGTAACTGTTAAAATGTACTACAACAGATGTATCTCTTGTCCCTCTGGCAGTGTTGTATTTTATAAACTTATTTTATTTGGCAGGTTCCAAACAGCAAAACAAAATTTTGGGAAAATCAAGAGAGTCAACATGGTGTTCAAGCACATGTAGGATGTAAGGTAATGAATATAAGACAGAAAATTAAAAATGAATGTTTTAACTGGGCAATAATTTTTACTTTGAGGATAGCATAAACAGTTAATGTCTTTCTTGAGCAGCAAGAACAATTTTTAAGAGAAATTTCCTAAGAATTCAGTGTATCTGCTTTTTTATTATTACTACCTTGTCAGTCAACTAAACATTAGTTTGGAAAGGGGTATTGCTGTCTTTGCTAGAATTCATTTTTCTCTGTGCCTCTCATCACAACTAATTGCATTTTTACTTAGAAATCATGCCTACTAAATTCCAGAAAACCACAGCTGCCAATTAACCATGTCAGCAAAATTTATAATTTTGTTGCTGACAGTATGAAATTAGGTGATTTGTGCTCCTCACTTCTAGCATAAGGACTACTTACAGTATTTTAGGAAATGAATTCTTCCTCATGTACTAATACCAAGCTTAATACAAAGCAATGGGTGGACACTAATTAAGGAAAGAACCAACCTGGAACTAAGGAGAAATTTCCTGATAGTTAGAACAATTGATCAGTGGAGCACTTGCCTCCAGGAATTGTGGTTGCTCCATCAGTGGAGGTTTTTTAAGAAGACAGTGAACAACCATTTGTCTGATTCAACTCTTGATAGTAAATTTCAGCTGTCCACGCATTTAGCCCCCTAGTCAGGAAATGGCTCCATAGAAGACTTTCAAACACAACTCCAATTACTTTCTTTCCTGCAGATAAGAATGAAGCCACGGATATCGCAAACTGCCTATGGCAAGAGACAGAATTCAAAATACATAGAAAGATTAATGATCCAGGATTAAATTCTAGAATTTGTCCCCTTGCCTTCCCAAAGCAACAATTACTTGTCTATTCTCTTGATGGTGTGAGAAGCCATCTGAACTATGCTGACTTAACAGTCCTTTCTAGCTTGAGAATTACTGGTTAGTACCCTCCATTCTTTACACACACTAAGTTTGGCTGCAACCCCAGTGGCAAGAGGAGATTTTGCCTTCTTCTCTTCATGGGATGCTGATACTGGATTGTTCTAGGCATGAAAGGAGAAGTTGAAGTTGAAGTTGACTGAAGTTTAAATTCACACATAAAATATTTTCTGCCCCAAGCATTTCCCACTTTTATTAATTTCAATATGACTTGAGGTTGTGAGAGATTGCCCATTTCTATGGAAGTTAGGCATGCATAAATATTAAAATTTCATTAATACAATAACAAAAACCAGTTGGCTAGATTGAGGAATCCTAACAGTCCATTTAGGAATATACTGTATGTTTTTATAAGTTGACTCCCTTTTCCTTTTGGCAGCCCCTCAAATACTGGACTACTGACCTGATAGCAGTATTCCAATATTTGAGGGGTTGCCACAAAGAAGAGGGGGTCAACTTATTTTTCAAAGCACTAGAAAGCATGACAAGAAGCAATGGATGGAAATTAGTCAAGGAGAGAAGCAACCTGGAATTGAGGAGAAACTTCCTAACAGTGAGAACAATTAATTAATGGAATAGCTTGCCTTCAGATGTTGTGGGTGCTTCATCACTGGAGGTTTTTAAGAAGAGACTGGACAGCCACTTGTCTCAAATTGTATAGGGTCTCCTGCTTGAGCAGGGGGTTGGACTAGAAGACCTCCAAGGTCCCTTCCAGCTCTATTCTAATTGATTGATTGATTAATTGATTTTTTTTACTTAGCTGCAACCAACAATCCTGTCCCAAAATAGTGTATAGATATAACATGAAGCCCCTCCTATGGATTGGAGTAATAATGGATCCCAGTTCTGCAATAGTTAAGAATTGTGATTCAACACCCTTTCCTTCCTTCCCTGTTCACTTACTGGGCCTTTCAAATGCAACAGTGTCAGGAATTGGTTCTATATCTTTGACAACCATTCTTCCATTATGGGAACTTCAGAGTCTTCCTATTTTTTATGCACATAGTATATTTGCAGCAATAATCATATATAAAAATAATCTTCCATGCCTCTTTTCTAATTGATTGTCCACTAATCCCAACAAGGAAAATTCTGGCTTCAGTTGAATGTTGATCTTTAAAATTCTTTGCATCATTAGATGTATTTTAACCCAGAAATCTCTGGTTCTTCTACAAGTCCAAGCATGATCAAATCTTCATGTTACCCATATTTTCAACATAAATTTGAAGAATCGAACTAGATAACAACAAGACCTGGCAATGGCTAAGTGCAGGAAAGTTGAAGACAGAGGGGTAATTCTGGCTGTACAAGACCAGCCTAAGGAGCAAATGCATACAAAACCAGAATTGAGAAAACAATAACAGAAGCAAATGCTACCTTGGCAAAGAAGCTGAAGAAACAATGGATCACCTAGCTAGCTGTTGCAAGAAGATTGTACAAACTGACTACAAACAAAGGCATGACAAAGTAGCAACAATGGTGCATTGGAATATCTGCAAGAAATATCATTTACCTGCAGGCAAGAACTGGCGGGACCTCAAAATAGACAAAGAAATAGAAAAGCTAAAGTGTTCTGAGACTTTAGTATTCAGACAGACAAGGGCCTGCCACACAACACCCCAGACTTAACAGTTGATAAGAAAGACAAAAAAGTCTGGATAGTAGTTTGCAGTACTTCGAGACAGTGAAATAGAAGAGAAAGAACTGGAGAAGAACACAAAATACAAAGAACTTCAAATAAAAGTAGAATAACTATGGCAAAAGATAGTGCCAACTGTAATAGGTGTCTCAGATGCAATCCCAAAACAACTGAAACATCAGTTGAACATCATTGGCACTGACAAAATCATCATCAGTCAATTGCAAAATACAGCTTTATTTGGAACAGCTTACACCCCATGACAATTCTTTTAACACATTAAATAACAACATCTGCCTATTGGAAGGATTCATACAAGAATAAAATCTAGTCTAAACATCGGGCTGACCATGCAATCAATAATAATCTATTAAATTTATATGCCAGCTAACTCCCAGACATCTGCGTGGTTTTCAATTGTTAAAAACATTTACAAACAAAAACAATATAAAAAGTACAACGCCAATAGAAGATAAAAGAACAAAGATGACGAAGAATACAAAGCTGGTGGGGAATAGGAAGAAAGGGGCATCAGTTATCCTCACCAAAGGTCTGGGTGAAGAGCCACAATCTCAGGGCCCTTTGAAATGCTAGTAAGGTGGGGGCCACTTGAATCTTGGGGGAAGCCTCTTTTCCAAGGGTTAGGTCTTTACATAATGTGTCATTTGAGCCCGGTCATTTGTCCTCCCAATAAAAGTTCCATGTTGATTTGTTCTATGGTCCATTTTTTTTTATCTTGACTATCCAGTTAGTGTTTGTGCTAGTGATTATATCCTATCTAACATCCAGCAACAATAACGCTTGTATTAAATGAGATAAAAAAAACTGCAGTTTGGAAGCAAATAAATGCTAATTAACATGTATAAATATAACACATTCCTTTTCATTCTTAAAACCCCAATATCCTCACCATCACCACCACCAATTTGTTATGCCTAACCACAATAATACCACATCATTCCTAAACTCCTTTCGTCTCTGCTGAGTTGAAGATTATTCACCCATCCTTGAGTCAGCGGAAAAGTATACTGGTCTGAAACTTGTTATCCGTAATGCTAGTCTCTATCCCGGTCATGTTTCAAATCATTGCCTATCTCTTCCCTTTAAGTTAATGACTAACATTAGCCATTTTAAATAGCTTTTACCTACTCGGACAGTTTCAGAACAAGATAGAAAAACAACTCAGTACCATACAACTAAGAGTGATTTAAGGCTGTGTGGGCTGAAGGCAAGGTAACATCATGGAGACACATCAGAAAAAAATGTTGCCATGACATGTTTGTGCAAGTGGGGAAAGCCCTAAAATGTATCTATCTGGAGCAGTGGTGGCGAACCTATGGCACGGGTGCCAGAGGCGGCACTCAGAGCCCTCTCTGTGGGCACGCGCGCTGTCGCCCCAGTCCTAGGCCTTCAGCTGGGTTTTATAAAACCTTTTCGCTTTAGGCCTCCACCGCTGTGTGCAAAAAAAAAAAAAAGGTTCAATCAGTCAATTCCAACTTCTCACGGGAAAAAAAAAGATCTTGCAAAGTTGGAGTTGATTGATTGAACTTTTTAGTCCCACCCAGTCTGCCGCTACCACTGCAGCCACGCCCAGCCAATGGGCCACACGCACCCGGCACTCGACGATGCATAAGTGGGTTTTGGGTTGCAGTTTGGGCACTCGGTCTCTAAAAGGTTCGCCATCACTGATCTGGAGTCTTCAAAAGCATAAATACTTTGTGATAGGAGAGTTTCTAAATGAAAATAATTGCTTTTCCCAGACCAAAGTCCAGATAGTTCCACCAGCACTTTTAATTATAGCTCAGAAGAATTATATTTGTCACTCGAAGAGTCCATCCGTGCGTTTTTTGTTCCCTTCCTTCATTTTGCAGATTATGGAGTCGCCATGTTATATCTTAACTGTAAGAATTATTCGAATGTGGAATCTCCGTCGAGAAGATTGGTGTGAGTATTTTTATTCTTGATCATGGTTTCATGATATACTGAAACGGTATATGTCTGAACAATATTATCCCCAAAATGTCTATCTTGCTAAATATACAGGAATCCTTTTAAAGCATGTATCAAACATCTACAAAACATGTAAAGAACTCCAAGGTTCATCCAAATGTTACAATTTTATAATTGCAGCAGCTTATCAGATCACTTGTAACTGATATGTGGGTTTATCTGAGTTCACTGGCAACAGTTCGCCAAGGTTTTTGATAAGAATCTTTGCTACCATATCTAAAGATGCCAGGAAAAAGTCTTGTGTGCAAATTTGGGCTTCAACTCAAGCATGCTATTCTCGTATACAATCAGACATGTTTCAGCAATTATTCTACGATTAGGCCATGAGATCAGCCCAGCTCCAATTAGCTGTTTTAGGCTGTGGCAGGTGCACTCCCCCCCCTCCAGTCCTTGAGCTCTGTTTTCTAGGAGCATTTTG